AAATTATTTTGAAGCATTAAACTGAGAGAATGAAATTACAATGTTACAATAGGTTATCTAAAACCCTCTATAGTGATATTATCACTTTTACAGGTCACTACTTCTGGTTGCTGGATAGTAACAGGGTGCCAGGTCCACCCAGAGGCATCACCCAGGTGTGGGGCGTCCCGTCACCCATTGACACCGTGTTCACCCGCTGTAACTGCCAGGGCAAGACGTACATTTTCAAGGTAAACTGACCAATCTCAGCAGAACCACTGAGCGAACAGCATTTACAGAGTTTAACACAGCACGGTGTTCACAGGGAAGTCAGTACTGGAGATTTGAAAACGACGCTGTGGACCCCGGCTATCCCAAAGTCATTACAACAGGGTTCGACGGGCTGCAGGGCCACATCACGGCTGCCCTGTCGGTGCCCCAGTACAAGAGGAGGGCAGAGTCAGTCTACTTCTTCAAGAGAGGTAAAAAAAAAAAAAAGAGGGGGCGGAGCTTATTAAACTACCAGAAAAGATATATTTTGCTGTTCATTGCTTCAGAAAGAGAACTGTAATAAACGATGTGTACAATGTTTATGTTTTGAACACATAAAAAGGCTTTAGATGTTTACTTTCTTTTCCCCTAGGTGGAATGGTTCAGAAGTATTCATACCAGGCTGGTGTCAGGCCAACATGTGCCAAGAAAGTCAAGTATGCCATTTACACAGTCCGCAACCGAGTGGTTCGACAAGCAGGTAACCCATCATTGTTTATTTCGATCATGTAAACAATATACAAAGTTCATTTAGCAAAGAAGAGAAGAGAAACAGCTATACAACATAAAGCCAATACATTTCACTATTACCTGTTCTGATTCAGTTACATATAGAAGGAGCAGGAAGAAGTAGTCCCGCCCCTTCGCCACGAGTTATCGTTAATATTCAATCAGCTTCCTTACTGATATAATCTGCAGTAATAATAATAACGACTGTAGCATCCAGTCGAACTGAGAAGGCCAGAACTGATGGTTGTTGAATGACCTTATTATTCCTTGCCGTGTATCAGACAACGAACCAACGTAAGAGCAAATAAAACAATTACCATGTTATTCATGTAACACCATTTCAACCGCTCATTACGCTGGTCTAACCGTTTTCTATTAAACTATATAATACATATTATGCGTTTCAGATTGCTCAACTTAAATCAAGTACATTACAAACCTTGTTCCCCTGTTGACTGTAGCTAGAACCATTCATTTTTGTACAATTTAACCATGTTTTTCTCTCCCTTTTCTCTAAACTAGCAATAGTTTACCGTTTTCTTCCGTCTTTTTTGTACATCAAGCTAGTTACCGTTACCATCATTCACTTCCGGTCACACAGGAAGTTACCAAAATAAAAGTTATATTACGTAAATATGAGCTAGCTTTACATATCCGCCGTTACAACGACATATTTCTAATATATTTATACCACATTATATCATTGTGTTTTTGTGGTTCGATAACGTTGCCTCCCATTTTAAAAAGTTAATGTAGAATCCAACAAGTATGAATACAATTTACATTCACTGAATTGTAACATTTTTGCTTTCTTTATAACTCATAAAGAACACAACTTAATAACTTTCTTTATGTTTGTACTCTAACTTTTACAATAGTTGTGCGTGAACTTAGTGTAGAGAACCCCGTTAAGCGTGTTTACAGACGTATAGCTCCATGCTTGGTTAGACTTTGGCTTAAACGTGTACGAGCTGCAGCGCACACACTGCACCGAAAAGTGAGTCATAGCGCGGTGGAGAGGAGCAAATAACTGCAAAATGGAAACAAACACCCTTCGTAAGGTTTATGGGATTAACAAGGGTTAAGAGTTTGTTCACAAAACAAAAACACTGCACTGGTAAGGACAACACCAGTATGGTTTGGCTTCATGGCACAATTTTAAACCTGATCGTTTCGTTTCCAGCCTCCGTTTTAGGACCGGTCATCAACATTCGGACATCCTGGAGAG